GAGAATTTTTGCAAACAAATGCTGGTTGTGTTTTTCTTTTTAATTATAGAGCAAAGTTGAATCTCTTCCACAAACATTTCAGTCAACCTTAAATATTTGTTCCCACAGCTTTCATTAGCTGTCAAAAGTACACTAACAAAGATTAGGCACTGACTAATATCGTATGAGTAGTTTGCCAGCCAGCTAGTTTTCCCCAATTCCCTAAGCCCACTCACCACATTTTTGCCCCACTTAATAGCCCCAGACAACAAAGGGCCACATTCGCCTTCCACACAAGCCTATTACATAAATATGTAAATAACTTTTAAGAACGCACACACAACACACACATACATACACATGCATGTAGACATCGAAGCAGCTTAGGCGCATCAAGGCTCAGTCGGGCCTCTTATCAGCCTAACTGCCTACAATGCAATCACTTATACGCCATGTTGCACAAGCGGCTCTTCCAGACGACAAAACAAAAAACAAAAAGGCTGCACAGGAAAAGTTTTGCAGGCCAAAAGCAGCTTTAAACAAATGGCACGCATTGAAATGGAACAACGCACACACACACAGACTCATAAACACTCTCACACTAACACACAGCCAGAGTGTAGCATAAAGCCTTTGACAAGGGCCAAGCGGATGGGCTTAAGAAGCAACAAGAGCAGCAAGAGTAACAACAACAGCGACCAAACGAGCCAACATCAGTGCAGTGGAGCACCAACGAAACATTAATTACATACTTTTTTCCCGGCGTGCCAAAGCAGCCCAAACCACAGACGCGTCATTACAAATTGTGGCAAGCCGGAGAGAGGGGGCATGAACGTGTAATAGAGATGGAAAAATACGTTTGCTATTAGCATGGTTGTATTTAAGTTAAATATTAAGGCGAAGCCTTTTACTAAACTCTCTCTCTCTCTCTCTCTCTCTAAAAATGTGAAAGCGGAAAATCAGTAAAAAAGAGTAAATAAAAAATGTGAGACCAATGGATGCTAAGCGACACTTTTACAATTAAAGTGGATACCAAAAAAGTAACCCAACTAATGCTATCAAGTATCCTCAAAAGCCCAAACAGTGTTAATGAAGGTGTCTCCAAACTACATTTAAAAATAGGTGGCTTTATACTACTGTGCTTTATAATTTATAAATATTTTTAAAAATCTTTGTTCTTTATTTAAATTTATAAATATTAACATATACTTTTTTCAATTGTTGCTTTATTTAAGATCTGTCCTAAAAGGACAATTTTTAAATCAGTTGATATGCCTGGAGTAGTGATATCTTACAAAGGAGAAGATTGCATGCATTTTTATAATTTAACATGCAGCTTAGAAATTAGGTTATTGATTAAGAAATTAAAAGCTATCTGGAAGACTCTAGTTGACCCGGAATGTAAGTTCATGCGGACGGAGACACAACTGTGATATTCTTCGCTATTATATACATACAATTATTCTTTCCATTTGATGTTCAGAAAAAAAAATTCCCCACTCGAACATTGCAAAGAAATTAATTTTCCGATTGTTACCCCGACAGTAACTCAATTCCCTGTCGATATTCGTGATCAAGTAAAGTTACTGCCCATACTACACATCGCTAGCTGGAGAGCTATACGAGCGAAAGGTAAAGTTAGCAGCCTTCGGGGAACTGGCGTAGTTTTCTTGCCATGTGAACTATGCATTGCTTGCATTTTATCTGCTCCAATTGCAGTGCCTGGCGAGTTGGGGGACGAGGTAAGGACGAGGCAGGCGTATTGCAGCATATTTACAGTTACCCGACATTTAATGCAACTGGGAATTGCACGCCGACATCGGCGGTAAGTGGGCATAAGTGGGGGTGTTGGCACAAATGGGGCCGAGTTGGCTAACAACTTTGCTGCCGGGCAACATTTTAAAAACATTCGAACGAACCAGAGAATAAAGCATAACGGAAGCGGCATAATATACATTGTGGGTGTTGCTGGTGTTGTTGTTGTTGCTGTTGATTTTGCCTTTGCTGTACAATACCAATGGCGCACAGACAATAATAACAGACAATAGCAGCAGTACAACAACAATGACTATGAAAAGCGATTACAGGGCGCCCAGCACACGGCTAAGTGTTTTGCAACGGAAATGCCAAGCTATCATGCAAAAAGCCAGTGGCAGATTAACGAAGCATGGCCAGCTTGCCATGCTCGCTAGCTGCTGGCTTAAAGGTAGGAAACAAGGCAAGGAACAAGGAACAGTAGGGGGCACCAGGAGTGAAAGCCAAAGGAATTGAATGTTGAATGTTGGAGGACGCAGGCAGTGGCGGCACGTGACGCTGCGACAGTCCATGACCAAGTGCGGATATTGCGTTTACAGCGCACGGCGAAAAACGAAACACAACAAAAGGTTATTGACATCAGTGGTTACACCAAAAATATATACATGCATACAATACATACATACATTTACACATATGTCCTCACACACATGTACTTAGAAGACTTCAAAACGTTGCATACGCGCAGGCGCTGCAAAAAAATCAGCAATTTTCGTCGGATATAAAAACAAAGCTGGAAAGTCCAGGAATCAGCAATCAGCACAGACACAAAAAAAAAAATAGGTACTTATATTAAGAGATTTCGTTCTTTGTGTGTTAAATATTTACTGATGAATGGTTTCATGTATCTCTTTACTTTTCATCATTTAATTAATACCTTATTGTTTTCACTCTCTTTTTTCTAAATTTTTGGAGTTTTTTTCTCTTGCTCCAAGTGAAGCTCTGTTATGGAATCTATAACTTATTCTACGATCGAGTTACGGCTACGGATTTTCTGAAACTACATTTTACATTAGAGAGCTTACGTTTTCCTCCCAACAAAAAAGTCTGAGAAAATCAACTTTGAAACGAATTCCATTTCGGTGTAAATCTGTGGTGAAACCATTTTGAAAGTAACACTTTTATCCAAACACTAAAGGACTTAGGAGGAGCAGCAGCAACCAAGTTAATATAACAACTGCTGCGACTGTTTGCTTGCCACTACCTCTAGTGGCAGTCGTCTGGCCTCCCACTTCAGTTGCAGTCATACGCCGTTAGCCAATGGGCCACTAATTGTTGGCAACATGGACTATCGCTTTACGCAAACACCTCGGCGCAGCGTTAAAAGGCTTCCCAGCTCCATCCATCTCCCAGCCCTCCTGCTGCCCCAAATACTCTAGAGTGGCAAGCTTAAATGCATTTCGCCCTGTAGCCTTTTGCCTGGCAGCGTTAATTGAAAACTTTTGAGTATTTTTGTGTTTCCGTCCAAATACTTATAACTACAATGCCAGAAGCAACAACAAAAACAAGGGCAAAAAAGGGAAACAAAATTCTAAAGTTTTAGTTTTAGTGGAAGTGGAAGTGAATTTTTAACGCTTTGGCGCCTTGCATTTGTTTAGTCAGTTTGAAGAGCAGCAGCAGAACAGTCTATTGGACGGGGTTAAGGGGAGCTTTGAGCAGCTCAAGGCCCTGCAGCATTGAAAGTTGCTGGCAAATTGGAATTGGGAAGGATGGTGGTCGAACTCTCGGCTGGATGCGGAAAGTGCACTTCATTTGGCATTGTTGACAACGCCAGTGCTTAACCAATTGAAAATGCATGGAACGGAATGAGGGCAGACAGATGGGAAACTATCCATTTGCGAAGGGGGAAATACTATATGCATACTTGTACATATATATGGATTGGATATCTCTATTTGGAGTGAGGAATTGCCAGTTTTTCTTTGTCTTGCAGCTCCAACATATTTACGTGCGTGCATAGTTTATGAGGAGAAGAAATAACCCTTGAGTGCTCATATATTTTTGCAGTGCAAAGAAACTGCAAATGAACTCTTGGGATTGTTTCTCTCGTTTTTCTTGTACTTGTACTGTATACATATGTGTACAAATATGATTTTTGTCAGGCTATATGTGTATATAGATGCATTTGTCAACATTTTCACATTTCTGTTAGTACTCGAGAGCGATAGTTTAAGGTAAGTCAGATACTCGACAATAGCTGAGTGAATAAACGCCATACTAGAGTTATAATAATGTGTCAACGTAAACGCATATTTTAAACTGCTTTAGGTTCGATCTAAGCCTTAAAACGCAGTTAGTTTTAAAACAATTGTCTCTTATTAGGTATTATTTTTCATTTAATGTGTCTAACAATGTAACGTATTGATAGCATTAGAAATAAGGTGATATTTGTTAAGACGTAGGTGCATGGTCACACGAAGAGAAGAAGGAAAAAAACGGCGCGTGCCAAGGTGTGCGAGAAAATATAAATCACAGAATAATTAAGCAATCAGCGTTCAATAAAATTGAAAACCCAAACCAAGCTTACAATTCAAAATGTCAAGGAAATAATTTTCTCAAAATTTAGAAAACGCGCAAAATTAATATATTTTTCTATAATTTGTGCACTTCCGTGTCATGTTGCAAAAATTAAAGTGAGAAAATAAACCGTAGAAGAATATAAATTTTTATTTTACATCAATATTTTTTAATACTAAGAAATACTTTTCTAATTTCAAGGAAAATTGTATTAAAGAAAACAATTTTTAATTCGGCGCTGCTGCATTTAAATATACTTCAATCGCATTTATCTTCTATTAAATTCTGTCAATTCTATTTTCGTACCCATAAAAAGTACAACCGACACAACCTTTAAAAACATTTTAGAATTTTAGTCAAATCAAACAAAAAAGTGGCCCACTATCGTGACTAAAGCGCATTCATCACCAAACACGAATTGCTAAATGTTCTGATTCTCTCGCGATTCTACACCTCCATTGACATGCACTTTCACGGGAAATAATGGATGTCATTTGATATTAAAATTCGTATTTTCAAATTAACATCTTTTCATAACAGTTTACGAAATACAGTGCAAGGCAACATATTTATGTTTTCAATAATTTCGTTTCCACTTGAATAAGCAGCTCAGTGGCTGTGTAAATGTGTGTGCATTCAGTGGTTGGTTAAATGTTTGTTTACTTATTTTCTACACCCCCTGTACTCACAATTTCTCGCTGCAGTTTGGCAATATTGAAATTGGCTTGCGCCAATCGTACGCTCAGCGTTGCCACATCGCTGGTTAGTTGCGCTCGTTCGCTTGTGTTGCGATCCACCAGCTTCAGCATTTTGTCCTCCAAACTCTGATTGACCTTCTGTACGCGCTTGTGCGACTCGTATAATCGATCGTATTTGTCCTGCCACGCTATAACACTGTCCTCGAGCTCCACTTGACGTTCCGTTTCGCGGAGACAGGCGGTCTCAAGGGCGTACAGTTGTGTTTGCTTCTCGATGAGGGCCTGTTGCAGTTGTTCAATTTCCGCAAGGGGAGTTGACGATGCTGCTGACACAACTGCTGCTGCTGCTGCTACTACTGCTACTGCTGCTGTTGCTGTTGCTGTCACTGTGTTGTTGTTGTTGTTGTTGCTGTTGCTGTTGCTACTGCTGCTGATGTTATTATTGCTATTGGCTGTTGTGGCAGCTGCCGCTGAGAGGACATCACTCGCTGCCTGCAATTGAATGAAGAAGGCCAAATGAAGTTATGAATGAAATGTTTGTAATTAATTTCGCATCCGGTGCATACCAGAAGCAAAAATTGTCACACACAGAGCATCGACAGGTTCCGAGAAAGCAACGTTGGACGCCGGAGGCTACGTTAAATTATGAGCGGATTTTTTTTCATACTTTTCATTTAATAGAATTAATAAGCGGCGACTGTTCGCCCCCTAGATTCTGTGTGTGTTTGTGTCATTAAAACGCTTGTCATGCTCATAAATGGAGCAGCTGCGAGAGCGACAGCGACAGCGACTGGTGTAACAAACACGGTGTCATGATTAACATTAACATTTGCCAGCTATAGCTGTACGCTTTTAGATTAAAAATACTATGTATGCAGCATCTTTTCAACTGTGCCAGCGATAAGCCATGCATGCGGGCAGTGCGATAGAGTCGGCACCGAAATCTGCTACAATCTGCTCCACAGTCCCGCAGTACCAATATAATGAGCTATATATATAAATGCAGTACTATGACTTAGTTACAGAGTTTGAAAGACTTACTATATAAATAGCAAGTTTTGTGGGGGTTTTTTGATTAACAAAAAATATATATAATTTTATATTAAGTGCAAACTTAATTTTTTTTTGTTTATTGTTCCATAAAACGTGACAAAAACTCAATTAATTTGTTCAAATGTTTTTAAAATTTACGCACATGCACTAATTTCTTATAAATACTTTTTATAATTGCTGGTTACCCTCATCAATTGGACCCCGGGGATATTTAGCTGTTCACGATCGTGCAGGTACTTTAGTTTTAATCTATTTGATTATCAAAAGTTATTTCTAAATATCTATATATTTTCTTCCACCCCAAGTAGTACATCGAAAGCAGAAAGCCTATTATACGGCAAAGAAAGAAGAAGTGATTATTAAATGATTTGATAAAATCCTAAAACTATTCATAATGCATCGCAGAAGTAACTTTAAGCCTTCATGGCTGACAGTCTCGTCCATTAGAATAAAGCGCGCCGAGCCATTAAACTGATAAGCATTGTTTGTCACAAGCCATAACGAGAGAAGACTATTAAAGAGCGTACGGATGAGAAATTGAGCAGACAGAGAGAGAGAGAGAGAGAGAGAAAAAAAAGTTTCTCATGAAGAATATTTGTACGTGTAATCAAATGTGTTACCAGCTTTATTATACTGTTAAAAAAAAAGTAGGAGACACTACTATTTTAAATTCTAGCCGTACCACATGACTTTGTTGTTGTCTGCTTATCGCACAGTTGCTCACAGCTCGCCGTCATTAAACTATGGAGATGCCGGCCAGTAAAGCTCTTATCAACATCATTTGTGTATAAAAGGGTCTGATTGTCTGCAAAAGTCAATCCTCAGAGTGCTTCTTGTCATTGCATATCAAAAATCAAAGCGCAAACTATTTGTAATTGGATTAAGAAGACAAAAAAAAAAACAAAAGCGACAACAACAAGAACAGGCACAGCAACAAACAGAGCAACTGAGCAATATCGGCGCTCAAACTTTGTCTTTAGTTGGAGGCGCAGACAGCCACGCACGAGATGGCACCAGCAGAAACCAAAAACAAAAGCAACAGCACTTATTGCCAACTTTTGTACACACACACATATATATGTATATATACGGGTATAGGCATATATATATATATATAGATATATGTGAATGTGTGTGTGTCTGTTAAAGAGATTTGCAGGCGTAGCATCAAAATGCTAAGCGTATTAGATCTGCACAGTATTGAGTTGAATCAAACGGCGCATAATTATCTGAGCTAGAATTTCAGGAAGTTCTGAATCCCACGATACTTTGCCTTACAAAAAATACTCCAAGGTATATTTTTTTTTTTATTATAGATATTTGTTTCACTTCTAAAATTTGATGCACAGAAAGAGTGAGTCGACTCGAAGGGGATTCATAGTTGATTGAACTGATTAGCTCCTGTCTTTTGGCATTGTCTATATAATATTTGTGTCTTTGTAAACTGAATAACTAGAACTAAAAGCATAAACTCTTACTGGGACTGAGCACAATTTTCATTACCAGTGGTCGATTTCTTCAATTAATATCGAATGATCACACCATTTCTGATATCGTTTAAGCAAACGCACATCCAAAAATAAAAGTGTGGAGCAATAAAAACATTAAAATAAAAGTACTACTACCTGAATACTAAATGAATGCATTCCAGAAAAGGATGTAAGTTTAATTTAATTTTGCCAGTTCTGAACTCCTATTCTTCACACTGTAGCTGTTCAGATTCTCGCCTCAATAGTTAAGCCCAATTTAGTTCTACAAAGCCTTAATGCTGCCTTAATGTTGCGAAAAGTATATTTCGAAAAGCATGTTGAGACAAGATGTTGCGAAAAGTATTTTTCGAAAGCTATGTTGCGAAAATAATAATGAAAAAAGAGTTGTTGCCAAGCATTTGTTGCTAGATAAATAGAAAAAACTAAAAAAAAAACTGTTGTAGATCAAACAATTTGAAATAAAACCTTCTCAAAATTATTTAAAATAAGTCTTCCTAAGCTTTCCACTTATTCATTTTATGCTGAAGCTGTAGTGTTGCAAAGTGTCAAATGTTGACAAACATATGTTGCGGAACGTGTGTTGCCAAAATAATAATGCCAAGCATATGTTGCTAGATAGATAAAAACAATTAAGAAACAATATTTTAAATGTATGATTCCTCTGTTTTATTGTAGTGTTCTTAGTACATATGTATTACGATCTTACTAATCGTACGTAATAGATTATATAATTTGAGAGCAATAGCACTGATTTATATGATTCGACATATCATTTCACATCACTTACATATATACGTATTCGCCCTCAAACCTAAAAACTGCTAAATGTACAGAAAATTTAATTAAAAAAGGATTTTCGTTGCACAGAAAGTTGCTTGGCTTCGCAGAGTTCGTCGTCGTCGTCGTCCTTTGCCCAAGCTCTTAAATTGTAAGAATGGGGAAAATGTCTACTTACATTTTGCGAACGCATAAGAAAATTCAATTTATAGTTGTGGCTAAATTGCGACTGTATGTGTGCGTGTATGTGTGTGTGTGTGTGTGTGTAATTGTGGGCGTGCCAAATTGCCGACGACAGACAATGCTATTAATTAATTTGGACGGCGGATTGAGTTTGAAGAACACTTTTCAAAGTTGCCTGCCTGCCTGACATAAATGTGAGCGGTTTTGTGGGGTTAAAAGGCAGTCCAAAGTTATGAGTGCTTGTGTGTGTGTGTGTGTGTGTGTGTGTGTGTGTGTGCTCGTGTGCTTGTTGTGCAACATATGACGTTCATGTTAAACGCACGATTTCAAATTTTTACGATTTGTTTGCCTGCTGGGTCGTAAAACAATTTTCATGTTTTGTTAATAACGTGACGTTTTTACTTTATTTTATTTGATGTTGCCAGCACTTGTGTTACCTAAATGTTTGCATATCAATTATTAAATGAATATCTTTGTTTTGTTTAAAAAGGAAAGCAAAAGCCAAGTGCTTTGCAATCGAAAAAGTGTAAACACGTCAAATATTTTGTTTTTTTCATAAACACAACTTTTTAATTTCATTATTTATATTGCTTTTATAAGAGTTATATTCACAACAAATAATTGTAATTAATTGCTTGTATTATTCAAACATACAGAAGTAGCTTTCTTTCATTGATAAGCACATTTTTGCTGTCGTTCTGTGAATTAATCAAATCAAAAGCAATGCTAAAGAAAAACAGAAGACAATTAGCTATTCATGGCACCTTTTCAAATTATTGATGCGGAAACGCAACCAACCGTTACTGACAATTTATCCATTTTTAATGTTACTTTCTTATCCTTAATAGACAAAATATTTCTAATATAATAGCTTAATCAGTGCGTCGACCCCCCCCCCCCCCCCCCCCCCCCACCAACCATCACCATTCAAGCCTTTCAAAAAAATTCATCAGTTAATTAATTAAAACTCAAACTCAATCAGTTTGTCAACCCGTGCCGTACAAAATGGTGTACATTAATCGATGAACTCTAAAGAAACATGAAAACAAAGCGTATCCCGAGAAGAGGAAGAAGGAAAACCCTTGGCATGCTTCAATGCAATTGAAAAGTCTTCGCCTCATTTTTCACATTGCCACAGCGAAGAATTTTCAAAATGAGCAAAAGCTGCCTAGCCCCAGAAAGAAGAAGATGAAGTTGAAGACGCAAGTAATGAAAGCAATGGAAGGCATCAGGAAACAAGAAGTGGAAAAACCTTTCATAAATTTTGCAAGATTTTTCTAATTGTCATCGTGTTTTGTTTGTTATTTTTAAGTTCAGACAACAACAACAACAACAATAACGTGAGGCATGTGAAAAATGAGGCGGTTTTGGGCGTTGGAAACGACAATTTTGCCGCACAGTGGTCAGTTTGCTTATTTGAGGCAAGAAATTTAAAGAGTTTACAACTAGAAAGAGACAGTTGCTAGTTAGATTACTTTCTCAGTCAACAGAATTGTTAATTAATTAATTGCGCTGATTAATAATTTTTATTTTTTGGAGCAGGGCTAAAAACTGAAATATGTTATTTATATTTAAAAAAAACTATATTAAATATAAATTTTAAAGGTGATTTAATGATGATTCATAATTAGTCTTTTCTGATTTTAGCATTTTTTGAGCTCAAATATGGTTAGATTAGTATGCAAACATTAATCGGTATACTAAAAAGGCTAAGAACGCTCGAAAGCCGTTCACTTTAGAGCCATAAGAGCTAGGGACATCTAACTTCGTATTTAGATTTTTATTATTCATATGCAAACAAGTGTCTTACAAATCATATATCTATATCCTCATTATTTTATATAATTGTTATATGAGTGATCGATGGAAGTATCACTCTAAGTTGAATAGAAAAACATGTACAACAAGCCTTATTTTCCTTTTAACATTGAAGCAAAATTTCGATATGCATGCGGTCTTGATGTTTGGAATTTCCGCAAATTTTCCAGA